ACACATTAGATAAATTATTACGTGATTAAAAAATGTAAAATAAAATTCCACGGTTAATTAAAAAAAATACTTGATTAAATATTTAAGCGGAGAGGAGCGCGCTGAAATATGAAACACACGAAATGACGTCGTGAAAATGCTTAAAGTCATTCACCAAAAAAAAAAAAAGAAAAAAAAAAGATTGAAATACAGACGGTAAGCACAACCGGCTTCGTCGTCAGAAAGACGCTCATTAGGGACGACTGCGTTTCAGGCGGATGTGAAGTAATCGCCCGAAGAGAGCACCCGGTAGTACGATAACCTATCGCAAAGTGGCCGATAGTATGTGTATGTTCTGGTCTTCCGCGGTAAGCTCGGTCGAGTAAATTTTCAAGTGACACCATTTGCAAGCTAAATCACGATGCATAATTGCCGACGAAGATTGTTACCGGTATATTACCAGCCCGTGTGTCAGAGCGGTTAAATTATTCCGCAAATTAGTGAATTTGCTGAAACATTAGTAAAGATAAGAGAGACTGCTGAATTTTATCGCTCTATTAATGAATAATGTCTTTGGGAAAAAAAAAAATAGGTGATTTAAACGCAAAAATACATAAACTCGTATTGACGAGAATTTTCGATTCTACATTTTGTTCTTGTTTTTTTTTTTTTTTAAGTAAAAATATAACGTATCGTACGTACTCTTAAGAACTAACACAGAAATGCAAAGCGCTTTCCGCATAACTAATTTTTTTCCTTAATCGCGATCGCGTGTTTATTCTTACCGTTACTAAAAAAAAAAAAAAGAAAAAAGAGACAATTGTAAAACGAATTTACGACTCTTTTTCCAATTTTGAGACAAATTGTTTATTCGCTCCGCGCACTTTTGATTCTTTTTCTCTTCGTCGCGAACAACCGAGAAGATTTTTCAGCCTGTTCCAGAAAAATGAACACAATCGAACCTTCCTTCCCTCCTCCTGATAATTGTCGCGATCCACGACTGTTATTCAGGAAAGTACTGTACTTTGAAAAGGGTGAAAAGTGAAGTGTTCCACCCGCATGTCCGTCGACACTTGTCGAGCGATGGTGAGACGTAGGCGAGCGTATAGCTTCGCGATAAAAAAGAGCGAGACCGATACCGAAAGCAGCAAGTAGCGCGTACGTACAATACGTATTGCGCGATATAGCGACACAGGGCGTTGTATCGTAGGGAGAGAGGCGATCGTGTTTTATGACGCGACCGATAGCCGCGCGTAAGTCACGTGTGAACACCCTTTTAGAGAATACTTTGAAAAAAATTTACTTAGAATGGCGCGAGGCACTACCGTGTCTCTTGATATGCAAATAATATATGTATATATTTACATAAATATATACAACATCAATATATGAGTTTTAATATTTTATTTCAAAAAAGAGACAAATTGTCGACAATATATATTGCGTAATATTTTATTTCAAAAAAGAGACAAATTGTTGACAAATATATTGCGTAATATTTTATTTCAAAAAAGAGACAAATTGTTGACAAATTTATTGCGTAATATTTTATTTAAAAAAAGAGACAAATTGTTGACAAATATATTGTGTAATATTTTATTTAAAAAAAGAAACAAATTGTTGACAATATATGTTGCGTACCGTGTGAGTAAATAATATTTAAGAAAAAAATTATATATTAAAGATATAAAAATTAAGTGACTAAATAATAATTATGATAATAACAATTTCGCGTAATTTAAATTAAATTACAATTATCTTATTTTTGCTAAATAAAAATTTTTATTAAATCAAATGTCAACGAGTCTCTTTCATTCGCTTAAAATGTTTAGAAATTTTTATAATTACCTTTATTAAATCAAAAACAATAATGTCAACGAATCTCTTACTCGTTCACTTAAATTTGTCAATTTTCATTAACTTATTGTCGTGAAGTGTTATTGTTTTGTACAGTGTTTGTGTCTCGGGAAAAGATAGTCAAACATCAGGACGTAAACGGGACAATGTTAAGACGTTTTTTTTACGATAACTTCATGAATGCATATCACATGAATATATCGAAATATGCCGGTACCGTCATTCTTTTTTTTTTTTTTTTACTACAAGCCTTATCTAACAGCTATTTCCCGCTGAGCGATAACGTGCGTGTGCGTGTGTAAGCCGGCACACAACAATAGCTTCGCCAACTAATTATATATCTCAGGACACGCTGACAAGCGAGTAAGTGACTTCAACTCATCGACAGAATCAGTTTTACGCTTATTCTTTCGAGTTACCGACCGTCTTTGCACACATATCTTCTTACACACATTTATCTTTTCGTAGACACTGTACAAAAGATAATCAATTATCGTTCTCTCGTTCTTCCACATCGAACCCGAAAGTAATTTTTTTGTACAACAAAACGCGCGAGAGAGATTGCCGAAGTGATATCGGAGATTAGAGTTGTGGTTGGAGAGAAAAAAAAAGTAGTATAATACAATTTAGATACCACGAGAGAGACGCGCGTCCAGACGGCGCAATGGCGGCACTGGATAGCATCTCGTGTGCAACAGATGCTGAATTCTCGATGTCTGGCGTGGCGGATCTCGTGGTAGAGATTACAATCGACATATTTATTATATTATGATTTTGCTCTCCGCACAATTTTCTCCGCGCGGATCTGTCACTAATATTTTGTTGAATTTATTCGCAATATTATATTATTAGATTGCTGTTTATTTAATTAAATTAATTTGTTATCAAACAAATCGACGTGAGGACACAAATCACACTCGATGACGTAAGGATTTTTTGTTGAACATAAAAAATTAGTATGTTTTAAAAAAAAAAAAAAAAAAAAAAAAAAAACACCAAGTACAGCAAAGATGTGTGGTGCGACAAAGACTCATTGTTTTTAATTTTCGTGTTGTAGATAAGAAACTTGCAGACTAGATAACGAAACTGTTGACGTCTGTGACTCGTCGCTATTGCTCGCACCAGATGCGGCGGTAAAATGTCACAACGCGCAATAAAATGTTTCATATTCCCGATACTGTAATAATCGTTAAAAACCGATAATGCGGCAAGCGCATGTGGAAGCGATTTATCGATATATATGACCGCGTCGAGGGAACGCATCGAAATGTTGTTCCTCGCGCGGAACCGCCGCGTAATGCCGGAACGACGGCCACAGATTGGCGAAACACAGTCACAAAAATTTTATATCGAATTTTATTACGCTATTTGCGCTACATTTACACGCAAGCGATGAGCTGTTGTCGCGTGATCATTTTTATATATCATTATAAGCGTTGACGATTTACGATTGACCAAATGAGTGTCTCCACAATCTGTGTTTTAATATTTCTCAGATAGTGTTAAAAAACAAAAACAACAAGATTTCAGATGTCTTTTAAACGAGAGTTGTCGTCCGGATCATGGTTTTCGGAATAAATAATTTAAGAAATCAAATAGATTAAATTAATGAGAAATTTGACGAGAATTGTGTGCGAATATCTTTTTATCTGGCTAAATAGTATAAGTTGTAGATATCTCGTATCGCTACTTAAGACCAATTATTCGCATTTACGCATCGAATCGAAAGAGTGAAAATATTTATACTTCATCGGCATTTCTCCACAGAATAATTAACAGAATAAGTAATGAGCGAAAATTAATTGATACCCCGGCCGGCGGCTAACATCGAATCGCTCTTACATTTACAAGGACCGTGCGACATTGCTATTAGGCTGTTTAATCACCGCCGCTTTTAATTCACCGCGGTTTTGTCACGCAAACCACAAGGCTGTGAAGCAAAAGGTTTATAGAATGAACGCAATATAATGTGATATATATATATATATACATGTATATACACAATTACGAGAGAACAATATGTGTTAAAAACATCCGAATTCACGCATCACAAAAGATTAATATCGACTCGATGAAAATTTATAAATTCGCGCTAGCAAAGGTTACCATTTCCGCGCGCAAGCTACCGTTCATGGAATACACAATTATTGTTGTAAATTAACGTCAATGCGTGGAAATGTCAGATAAGGAACGCCCGTATGTATAAATACATATGCCACACTATCGCGATGAATAACATCCTTGATAAGCGCAGAAAAAGCGGTTATTCTTATCAAATTGTATTCCCATAATTATAAGGAAAAAAAAAAAATGATCACGATAGGAGAAGCGCGCGATTCGTCGAAATCGCGTTTCCCGCGATTATGCTAACCGTCAGCATATAAAACAATTAATGTTAAATATTTATACGATCACGAACCGAGTCGAAATTTAGCGTCTACATTGAACCTCAATTCTTCTTTTTTTATGTAGGAGTAAGAGAGAAAGTAGATCCTACTTTGACGCTGCTATATGTCCGAAATTTCCTTTTTTTCCTGCTAAAGTTTTAAAGTAGGGTTCAATTCTCAGATCAGACTGCGCATTGCAGGCTCTGATAGGCTCAAAATAGGCTCTGATAAGCTCAAAGTAGGAGTAAGAAAAAAAGTAGATGCTACTTTGACGCTGCTATATGTCCGAAATTTCCTTTTTTCAAAAATTGGGGTTCAATGTAGACGCTAAATTTCGACTCGGGGAGATACAAGGCAGATTCTCGAAACGGTATTTGAAAGTTTATCGTTCGTTAAACTTTCGTTAAAATTCGACCTTGTGATCACGTGCTCCGTCTCTCTCTCTCTTTCTCTCTCTCTCTCCTCTCTCTCTTTTACGTATTTCGAAAAATAACAACTACCGTAAAAATACGCAGTTCCTGCATATTCCTTACGTTGCAGAAAACAAATGCCTTTGATAAAAATTGTAATTCTTATTTTTCGCATTGAAAAAATAATTAATTAATGCGAATAAAATGAAATTTAACTTTACGCTTTAAAAAAAATATATAAATGTTTTACCTTCGTCCAGAGAACGTTTGACTGTGTATCGCATATAATTACATACGTATAATGTAATTTTATCGTTCGAAAGTTTTCTTATCATTTAAAAAATCGATCGTTGGTTTTTGCACTCACGTGTTATCAGTCGGCGCTCGACATCGTCGTCCCGTTCTGGCAATTTGTCCTGTCAAAAGCTCGACTTCCCGTTAGCGCTCGACGACATGAGACCCGCGTACGCGCGTATAATTATACAGTCTCTTCTCTCTCTCGTGTGTGTCTAATTGTTAGTGGCGCACGATTCCGTGCCACTTTTCACTTTTCCCTTCTCTTTCCACGGTTTTGCTAATGAAAGGATTCGAGTTTCTTCTCTCGCAGACGAAACGGAATATCAAACGTTCGAACTCGCGCGCACACAAAAATGTTGCGATCTCGCGCGAAAATTTGATGCGCGATCTGTGTCACGAGATCTTCTCGCGGTGAGGTATCATATTGCAAACCATCTTTTTCTCTTTCTTTCTCTCTCTCTTTCAATGAGATTAGTTTTGTATTTGCTGGATTTTACTTGCGAGTACACATTTCCCGAGTCAGAAATCCAAAATTCGGGAGAACTACCGCGACGAATCACTGCGTTCTGCGTCCCACCCGTCAATCTCCTTAAGATCGCTACAAGTACCAGAAATTATCTCTTTTTCCGAAGAAGTCCTCGTTCATTCGCACGAATTCGCATTTCGCTCACAAAGAGTTTTCGGTCAAAACGCTGAAAGATGTCACATTAAAAAAAAAATATTTTGCAGAAAATCTTGCAGAGTTTAATTACGCGATACAATTAACAGGAATTTTGGTTTCTACGGGCGTGGATAACGCGAGGAATTCAGATATCGAACGATACAAAATTTTTTTAATTTCAAACTAAATAAATTGGAAATTTTCGAAGAATTTATATGTTTCGTTATATATATTTGTCTTTCTTTATCTAAGATAACAATTCGGATCAATTTAGAAATCTTTATCTACGTGCTTTGTACAAACAGTCACACCGATCATTTATCTTTTCAGAGGCCAATATAATATGTACACACTTCTCATCCACTCTAGTCTTTTTTTACAATCTCCGTAATGTCATCATTTCATTCGAAAGCGGCACTGTCAATTTTGCGAAACATACTTCACTGTCCACTGAACACCAGCTTGTTTTAACTCCAATTTGTCCTATCTCTCAATTGGAGTTGCCAATTCGAAAATTATTACTTCCAAGTTCAACAACGAAGTTCTCTTCCAAGTTCTTTTCCGGGATGAGTTCATTCAAATCAATGACGTCCAAGTTCGATTCATCGTTCACGATCGTTTTTCCGACGTCGTTCGGGATTTTCGCGACAGAGAGATCAAACGGCAAATTTGACGAATCCACACTCGCGTAAAGCTGTTTGTGTACACAGGAGGAGGTGACACAGGACGTGGTGCCTCCAAGACGTGGTGCAGCCGGTGACTGCGTCTCTGAAACTGTCCACGTCCACAGTCACAGCTGTTGAAGACGTGGGACACGCGGGGAGAAGCCGCGCGGGAGGCAGCAGCGGCGGGAGCTCGATCGGCGTAGGATCGGCGTAGAGCCACGCCAGGAAGGGATGGGATGGTAAAACCGACCGAGGAGTAAAGGGACCAGACATCACCAGAGTCTGGGGAAGGGAAACGTCGAGTTTATCGGCGACCACGGTACTGAAGGCGGTTCTTTGGGTTCGGTCGCGCCGGCTCCCAGGGGCGGAGCGAACGACGCCCACGTTGCACAAGACCGGGACCCTCGATGTTGAAGAGGGCGGTGACCAAGCGATAATATCCACCCGGTGAATCGGATTTTCATAAAGTATTCTTTCCTCACAACCCGCCCCTATCCTTCCCCCCGCCGCGCGACCGCGCCTCCGCGTGTCCGCTTCGTCTTTGGGGCTCGGCTCTTTATTACCGTTTCTTTCTTCCTCTTCCGACGGTCGGCGTTGGCGTCTCCCTTCCACCTTGTCGCGCCTATAATGTCCGACCAGATCGGACCTGGGATAAGGAGGCGCGCCGGATCGTTCCTCACGGATATCTTTGGGGTAGATGCACCGCCTTGTGCGTCTGACTTATGGACTACCTTCGATTGTATGTATACCACCACGTTTCTCCGGAGAGAGAGAGAGATTTTTTTGGAGCTCGCCTTCGAACGAGTTTTTTTTTCTTTTTTTTTCCAGGCGGCACGCTCCGTTGTGCACTTTTACAATTTGATATCAGTTTTTTTTTTCGCCGATTACGGAATATTCTTTTTATCGCGCGGTTATTGCAATTAATGTTATCGATACATATTGTCTCGATTTTTTGTTCGAGAATCTTGACAGTAGATTTTACATATTTCTCTCTCTTTCTCTCTTTTTCTTTCAGAGAAAAGAAATTTTATATTTTTTTCCCGAAAACAGATATTTCAAAAAATCTGCAAATCAAATTTCGCACGACGTGAATGCGCAGCGAGAAACTGATCGTTGACGCTTGGAGTTTCTCGAGACGAAGAAATGTCATCGTTTTGCCTGCTACTCCGTTAATTGGAAACTCGGAGGTTAATTGCCGACCGATTGGGACGTGATTATTGTCCGCGCGTTTATCGTCGTTATACTTTATAATAAATCAGTTCCCTGCGCGGCAGATAATGAACGCGAGCGTGGACTTCGCGGATCGTCGCGATCCTTGGTATAAGTCGCCAATGTGCAACTGTATAGCGCCGCGGCACTCTTCTCGGTATCTGTTACTTAGCAGCGGATGCGGATACATGTATGAGATTTCTTTTTAAATTAACATGAATTCTTCCTCTCTTTTTCTCTCTCGATCAAAGAAGAAGAACCGTCGAATATTGAGATAGTCGCGGAGAGATGTTATAGATAATTATCTATAATATTATAAAAAGAAATTTCATACATGTATCCGCATCCGCTGCTAAGTAACAGATAATATAATTATCTATAACAGATAAGATAATTATCTATAATAGATAATTATCTATTATAATATTATAGATAATTATCTATAACATCTCTCCGCGACTATCTCAATATTCGACGGTTCTTCTTCTTTGAAGAAAATTTATCACACAAGTTTTTACAAGTACAATACAAGTACAATACAATACAAGTACAAGTTTTTACAATATTATAGATAATTATCTATTATAATATTATAGATAATTATCTATAACATCTCTCCGCGACTATCTCAATATTCGACGGTTCTTCTTCTTTGAAGAAAATTTATCACACAAGTTTTTACAAGTACACAAGCTCTTGTTTTTTTTTTTTTAATTTCTTGTTTAAAGTGTCTGAAAGATAATAATTACAAGAGCCTTCGAAGCAACAATCTTGAATAAATTTCAACAAATACTGAACTTTAATAAAAATACATCGACGAGAACAAAAGAGATTAATGATACAATCAAGTAATTTTGACAATATTGATTTTGCGATAAGAAGATTTACTTCAATTGCCGGCCGATTATTAGCGTTTTTATATCATTACTTACAATAAACGTTAAACACGCGTACTTGGTGATAAACAAGAAGAACATGGCGCGTAACTCATCGCGATTTGCAGTCGTTACATTACGTGCGCAATACTCATTTCTTTTACGCTATGTGAATTACACAAATCACGATTGTATAATCTGCAATATGCAATTCACCGAAAGCGCGCTCGCATATTCAAACACAAACATTATTATCCACCTTACGGCTATGGAGAACTGCGGGTTTCGCAATAAAGTTTCAAAGTCCTCTTCGTTATTACGCGTATATGGTATTCCACCGTAAATCGCTGTGATATCGAACAATCAACTAATTAAACGCGTGTTGGACTCGGTTTCCAAAATTGAATGCTAATTTTCCAACAAGCTTAAAAAGTTTTAGATAATTTTTTTTTATATTGTTTAGAATGTTTAACATTATTGACACTTACACGCACATAAAAGTTTTTTTTTTCCATCTACTTTTTGTTGCTATTTGGAATTTTTAACTGTCTTATGTTGCGAGAAAAAAACATGCTATATTGTTTGCGAGTTGCACACTGTAAATAAAAGAGAGAAGAGCAAATGCGAATGAAACAAATGAAACTGCTTCGAAATATCTTGTCGCGCATTAACTGTTCGGATTGGAAATTCGAGAAGCGTAATCACGTCATTATCGTAGGTGAGTTTCGTCGAGAGCTGGCGGACCCAGGAGATGAACAAAGCGAGGACGCAATTCTCGAGAGACGCATTACAAGAGAGAGAGAGAGAAAGAGAGAGAAAGAAAAAGAAATTGCTTCTCCATTCTCGCGCTATCGTCGCTCGCATTAATCACAACCGCGTGCGCCGCGGTGGGCTCTCTTTATGCAATTACGTTGACCACCGCGCGAGCGGCGCATAAAAGCACGAGTACTATAGATAATTGTCGCCCCAATTAAGAACGCATCGCAAAACTTTACGTGTGCGTGCGACGGGGCCCGTGTTCTTTTTACATTTTTCGAAATGTCATGCTTTTTAGTACGACATCAAAGTAATCCATTTTCCACCGCACCGAAAAAATTATATTCTAGTAAGTAGAAGATTTGATACTTAAAAAATCTTCTTAAAGATTTTAGATGATATTCTTCTGAAATTAAGAATATATTCTTTATTTAAGAATATAGTCTTTTTCGATAGTGAGATATGTATGTTTTTCTATAGAGGCTTTTTATATTCTAATCAGTATATATTCTTATCAATATTACTATTTAAAGGAGTTTCCTCTTAAAATAAGAAACTCTTCTTGGCGCCTATTTTAGTATAAAATATACTTAAAGTAAGTGGGATATCCTCAAAACAAGAATACAATTTTTTCGGTGTAGATATCTCAAAAAAAAAAAAAAAAAAAAAAAAAGAACTAATTGTCATCTTATCAGTTATGTGATAAAAATGCCCTTGAAATTTTCCCACTTACGTTGGCAACAACAGTAGCCGTTTTGGTACATATTTCTAAATATTATCTCGTGCTGTGCGTCGTCTGTAAAGAAGGCACGCGTCTCGATCCCGCGATAAAGCCGGGAAGCAACGAGATATACGAACAAATTCTCACGATATTTGTTTGTAACTTCATAATGTTAAAGAGAAAATCTAATTATGTCTCCTTGTGGTTTCCTTTTTATTTTCTTGCTTACTTTCACGTTTCTTTTCGGATTTGTTTTTTTTTTTTTTTTTTTCCAGAGTGAAGAGTGAGAACGGACGCGTTACCTGAGAAAGAGACGCGACTCTCGGGAGCCGATCACAGGTGTGTCCCTTCTTCTCTCTCTAGGTGGGTAAACAAATATCTTAAAAACTGGTCAGCGAAATAATGATCCCACACGGACTAAATCTATCCCAGTCTTCGGGGCTTTATCGGAGGGCTTGACTAATCCATCGTTTAACGGTGTGAATAGTTTCTGATAGATTTTTATTGTGTGCGACGCGATTATACATCTTTAAGTGCGTACGAAAGAAAAGAATGCAGAAGTAATCTGCAGTAGCCCTTCATTCCACGAGGGATCTAAAACAGATCTCTTTTACCTCGGACTTTTCTCTCAGGTGAATTCTTGAAACGTTTTTCAAAGAAAACACTTTACTCACACACACATACACACACACAAGGCGCAAATGTGCAAGATAAATTATATGACATTTGACGCTTTCGCGATAGGCCGTACAAATATTATTTTTCTAGAATGGACAATTGTTTTAATCTAGTTGAAACCACACTTTGGTGTTAATTTTTGTGACCGATGCGTTTTTGTTTTTAGCTCTTTAAATCCCGATAAACCGTAAAAGCTGTTCAAATGTTAAAATGATGTACTTTGATTGATTTATTGATGTTTTTTTACTACTGGAATTTTTCAGAAAAAGATAACTTTAAAAGATAAGACAACGAGAGACGCAAACACTAAAATATATAGAGAGAAAGGTAAAAATCGAGATAAAAGTATCTTTTTAGAAGAAATTTATTTGTTTTTAATGTTTTTATCTTTTTATGTAAAAGTAAATGACAAGTGAGTAATGATGACTTGAACCTCCTATCTTTAAGTTTTTTACCTAAAAATTAAATAACTGAAATATTTCAAATATTTCGATGCTTAAACAAAAGATCGAAATGTGAGAGTTATTTTTAAAAGTAAGAGATAAAGAGTGAGAGAGAAAAGTTACGTATTTTATACGTATGTGAAATTTAACGGAGAGCACAGAGACCACTTTTAATCGATTTATATTTAATAAAATAAATTAAATCTTCCTTGCAATCAAATAATTTTTTTATTAACGAATAACCCGAGTCGAAATTTAGCGTCCACATTGAACCTCAATTTTTGAAAAAAGGAAATTTCGGACGTACAGCAGCGTCAAAGTAGCATCTACTTTTTTTCTTACTCCTACTTTGAGCCTATCAGAGCCTATTTTGAGCCTATCAGAGCCTGCAATGAGCAGTCTGATCTGAGAATTAAACCCTA